CATTATCTGAGTCACCACACTTTAACCGCATGCCTTCTAGCTTAGGCTATGCCATTCCCATTTCCATTGGGATTCCTTTGGACGGGGTTCTCATGAACCCGCCAACTTAACCTCAAGGCAGCACGCCTTGGCACCTTCGGTGTTTCCACACCATCGGTTCCACGAGCTTACCTTTATGACACTTTTTACTTGTGTCTAGGTCTTTTTGCCAAGACTAATATGGTTGTCTCTTATGCTAATTATCCATTAGCATTGCACCATAGTGTTTGCACCCAACTCTGGGCCAAAGTTGCTTTCTTTTGGGAACATCTTTCCCACGACTTTAGCATGGCACATTCTGCCATCAATGAGATACCTATTATTCTCATCCTTGGATCTTATGATCCTCCCCATACCTCATGGGGCACCATACACCTCAATCCAAATGTTTCAACCAATCCCTTAGGGCCATTCCCTGACTCCACTTAAGTCATCCAGCATTTTAGACTTTGCTAATCTAACGACCTACGAGGTCTTAGTCTTCAAGGTGCCAACTCGTTAGAATACAACTTCTTGTATTCAAGTCCTGCTCACAAGGACCATCTTTGCAAGTGTTACTCCGACACTTGATTTGTTCTCTTGGGGCAACCTTTTGCCCCTTAGGACCACTTGTCCATATGATGAGAATACCAACTCATCCTCTGAGTACACCCCCAACTCCTTGGGTTGTTCCAGCATTTATTAGAGCTAGCCCTGGCTACCATTTCAAGGACTTGTGTCCTCTTCCGTATTTGACCTCCCACGGTCAACAATTCCGGTCTCAAATTTATGAGTACCAGCCTCAACCATATTAAGGTAATCTTGTGACTCCTTTATTGTTTTGGAGTCTGCATCTTTCCCGTGATCCCAACTATAGTTGTTTACCACAACTACATTAGCTCATTTGCTGCGTCAAACACTCATCTGGATCACATCCTTAGCTCTCTGAGGAAACCCTTATATTGTTCCCAAGATCCCAAAGTCGTTCTATTATTGGCCCTTTTCTATCCACCACCTCACCTACGAGTTCACACATGAACTATAATGGAGAGCCATGTCTTCTCGACCTGCTACTCCTCAAGGATAGGCCCACTCTTCGGACCTTCCGATGCAAACACCAGTGGTGATATACTTGAGCACCAATAAAAGTCGGACTAAGGAACAGCTCCGATACCAAGTTGTAAGCGACTAATTTTTCCATTCTACTTTAATCACTTAGCCACACCACCGACCACTTGGAGGAGTCTCATTCACAACCTCCATAAGTCCAATTCAGGACTTGGGACTTGCTAGCCCCAAGAATGGCATCCATGCCACTCAACATTTGCACTTGGTCCAAGTGCTCCACGTGTCCGATCCCATGACTGACACTCAAAGGTACCACCGACATGGCAGCCTGTTACGCTAAGGCCATACCCAATCACCTTTGCCACACTGGTAGTCCAATACCACTTGCATCACAGTTTTGGCTCTCCAAGACTAGGCAAACCATCCATGAGTGGTCATCTCAGATCCACTCCTTAGCATCCTTAGGATGCCCACCGACAAGGGGAATAGCCTTCCCCAATATCCCTCTGTCAGTCCCCACTAAGTCCCTTTCTGCCCTTGGCCGTGTTTGCCAAAACTGCCACTGGATCGAGGCCCACATGCCTAACCACTAAGTCCCACGGTCCTCTGGGACTTCCTCACCACACGACTGTGTCCTTGGTCAGTACCCCAGAGGACTACTCCTCTTCCTTTCCACAGTTTGGGCCTTTGGGACAACATTTCGGAACACCATGGCCTTACGCGAGCCACCTGGGTACTCTCCCCGCCTTCCGCCTCTGGGTGCTCTAGCCATGGGCTTAGAGCGAGGTTCCGTTGAGCCATGCCTGGTATCCAAGTAGGTAGTGCCACCCACACTTGGATTGGGAGCATCGGCCAATTGATCTCTCGGGGGAACTAGAGCCGGCTCTTGAACACTTCACCAAGTTACCCCGCTTGTCGGTCCGTGTTCACTCTAGTCTTGGACTTCCCAGTGGTCAGCTCATCACCCAACACTGGGTCTGGCCTTCCTGGGCCAAACTGGCCTTTCCTGGGCCAAACTGGCCTTTCCTGGCCCAACTGGCTCCACTGGGCTCCAACCCCCAACTATACTTTTGGAGCTCACCAAACCCCCCAGGGTTTGGGAGACGAACGCTTTGGGCTTTCACCCTCTCAGACTCGAACTCAGACTCGGACTCGGACTCGGACTTGGACTCGGACTCGGACTCGGACTCGGGCTCGGGCTCGGTCCCGATCTTGGTCTCGGTCTCGGTCCCGGTCTCAGTCCTGGTCTTGGTCCCGGTCTCGGTCTCGACTTCGGACTCCATCTCGGGTCCATCTCGGACTCCATCTCGGACTCCATCTTGGGTCCATCTCGGACTCCATCTCAGGTCCATCTCGGACTAGATCTCGAGTCCATCTCGGACTCCATCTCGGACTCCATCTCGGGTCCATCTCGAACTCCATCTCAGACTCCATCTCGGACTCCATCTCGGGTCCATCTCGGACTCCATCTCGGGTCCATCTCGGACTCCATCTCGGGTCCGTCTCGGACTCAATCTCGGATCCATCTTGGGTCCTTCTCGGACTCCACTTCAGACTCCACTTTGGACTCCAACTCGGGTCCATCTCGGGTCTATCTTGGACACTTCCACGTATCATATGTTGGTCCTTTTGGGTCCCTTTTTGGAGCCTTGTTTATTGCTCGCTTTGTGCTCATTCCTTGAGCACTTCGTTGGGAGTTCCACTCCCACTTTCGACCTTTTCAAGTTGGAGCTTTTAGTCCAAATGTGTTACGCTCGTTTGGTTTTGACTTTGGCCACCACCACATGGCACCGTTCCAGCTCCACTTTGGGGCTTAGGGATTTTGTGTCTCACATATAATAGCTCTTAAAGTCTTTTATTTTGGTTCAAAATTATGGTTATATGGTTGGTTTGAATATTTGAGAGCTGTATACAAAGTTATAATTAATTCATTGGGATTTCACTAGAGAGCTAGATAGCTACTCTATACAGATATATTTGCATGCGTGCCATCTCAACTCTTTGCATGCTTGCCAAGTCAACATGAAAAATGTGGGACCATGAGCTAAGAATGATATCTAGGTGTTTGAAGTATGATTGCATTAATTGTTGTCTAAATGACTATTCTTTTTTAGCCAGTCCAGCTATATATACTTACTAACAATTACCCAACAAATGCTGGGTGGCTGGCAAATTTCATGCCATTTCAAGAGGTTTGCTGAGTTTACCTATGTTTGCTGTTTGATTAACACTAATTTAGTAAGCAACAAAACCTAGACATAGGCCAAGGTGTGGTGAGCACTCAAAAAGCCTCCTATGCTTTTTAGAATACAATGACACTTGAGCCATGAGAGGTGGGTGGGGTTTGCAAGTTCGAGAACTCACCTTGGGCTTGTTCTCTCTTGCAGAAGAATAAGGACTGCAAACTTTCTAATGGTTCTGGTTGCGTTGAAGGCTAGCTCTGGCTCCAGCTCTACTGCTTGGCATCCACAAACCCAAAAACACAAAAAAATTTAGATTGTTGTGGTTGGGGGCCAAATTAGTAGCCGCTGGCCTGATGCTGAACATAGATCTCAGCAAGAAGAAGTGCAATTGCTGCGATTGCCACTGATCCGGCAAGCAAGCGTTAACTCGATTGCAGCAGGGCATCTAGGGCGAGCTAAAAAGACCGGGCACAGGGGCAGGACACCACTGGTGACATATGTTCGATGCCTGTCTTGCCTCGCTCAGAGCCAATGAGCACCGGAGCTGTGGTGGTCTCCTAGGCTAACATTAGAAAAATTTCCCGCCAACCATGCCTGGCCGCAACCAGAAGAAAAAAACTGGGATGATAGGAAAACTAATGCATCTCAACTCTAACAAAGTCAGAAAGAATGAAAGAATACCTATCAGACAACGTAAAAACCATGTCTTTTGGAGGCTGAAAACCACCAAGTGTCATCGCACCACCCCCCTCGTCCAGAGAAAACGTCCTCCATGGCATTCTTCTCAACACCTCTGTTGTTGCTGGTGGAGGCGCAGCTGCTGCCACTGGGGGCTCGGGAGGGCCAAGCGCGGGGACTGGGAGCCACAGCTTCACTGGCCATTTACTCGCTCTCCTCTAGAGCTATGCCCTTTCCCTAAAGCAGGGGTGGAGATCCTTCATGCCGGGAGTGACGGTGGCGAGACTGTAGCTCTGGATCTGCTGCTGGTGCCTATTTCTGCGGGGATTGCTGTGGCGATTGAGCAGGAGATCTCTGAGTGGAAGATCTCTGTCTGGGAGATCCGGGAGCCACAGCTTCACTGGCCATTTACTCGAGTGCATCGCTCTCTTGCCCTTTCCCTAAAGCCACAGCGCTCCACATCAGGAGCGACGGGGCGATTTCTGCAGGAAAATTTAAAAGATCTCAACAAAAAAAGTTTGGATGATGATAGGAAAGACACTTGCATGTGACACATGTCGCTGTGCCTTCTTCTCCCACCCCACACAGCTTGGCCACCTCCTATTGGCCGAGAGCAAACACCAGAAAAATTTCTCGCAACCATGGCTACTGACCTTGGCCTGGGCCTGGGATCCAACGGCCGGCGAACCTCCCCACTATCGCTTTATATGTATAGATTTAAACCATTCAGATTGTTTGTTGAGAGCATCCATATACAAGTAAGATATAAGATATGAGCAAACAAAGTGCAATTGAAAAGAAACATGGATCAACCCATGGAATGATCTGGTATCCAACCAATGGGAAGCCTTGGAAATGGGAAGTCTTGGAAGCATTTTGAAGAGTGTTTCCTAGAATAGTAGTCCAACTTTCAAGCCATTTATTGACAATGATTGACTGTGTTAACTTTAAGAGCTCAACCCTTTGTTCCATCCCTTCCAAAGGTCGACAGAGAGAAAACTAGCAGAAAGCAATCTATCCGAAGCTCAAAATCTATAACCTGCTCCATTGACATCTATAAACATAGCCACACATTATCATTATGGAAGATCTTTTATTACACAGTCAACAGGGTTGACCATCACACACTTGATAGCGTGCTTCATTCGGAAACAAGAACGAGCTTACGCTTAGCGCCACAGCGACAAATAGGTGGGATCGATCTAGTGCATACGCTGCATTCTCTTCCCTTTGGGCAGTCCCCGTCACTGCAGCAGCTACTGCCTACTCCGCAGTTTGGAGGGGCCTTCGTGCAAAAGCACGAAGGCGGATAGCTCTTCGTGCAAACGGTGCAGTATTTGCCCTTGGGACAGAATTTGCTGTTTGGGCAGCACTGCGAGTTGGGCCTGCATCCAGACGGTCGGCTGGCTGCTCCATCGACAAAGAAAAACTCGCCTGGAAGATCAAGCACTTCAGCAGTGACAGCAATGCAAAGGAGCAGCGCAATGAGAGGAGCAAACTTGATAGACTGAGCCATAGCGAAACAGAGGATGCTTTTGGAGAGGCAAGCGCACTTGGTTATATACTCGCAAAGATTCGAACAATTGAGATATGCCGGATCCCACGTTTCTCTTGCTGATTTCCGGACTGAAAGCGAAACAAGAACCAAATAGCAATAATTCAACCAGCTGGACAGAAGACAAAAATCACCATCCTATGACATATACATGAGTTCATGTAGAAAAATAGTAGCGACGCAGCAGTCTTTATCGGCTACAAACACAAGCTGCATGATAGTTTGCATATTAAACAAGTGATACCTTCGATCCAGCTTGACATGATGCCATGATTTGTCCGTGCGATGAAGGTGATTTTCTTGAAGGAGTCATTGTGAGCTAGAGTGATCTTCTTGGTGTGCGTTAGAGCATTGCTGTCACAATATGAAAATCACTCTAGCTCACAGCTCCTTCAGGAAAATCACCTTCATTTAAGGACAAATCATGGCACCATGTCAAACCAAAGCTGAATAGAAGGCAGCACCGGTTCCATATACAAACTATCGATGCATCTTGCAAATATCTGCTTCCCATTTTCCAGATCCGGATGTCGAAAGCAAGATTTTTGCAAGATGCTTCGACGTATGACTCACGTGTAAAGTGAGAAATGGTCACTGCTGCAGTTGATGGCTAGGTCTAGTTAGGTGGACTTGTTCAGACAGATAACTACAACACCATTTGGTGATGCTAGTCTAGAGTGCTTTTGTTTGTCTAGGCTATTCCAGCTGCACCATTTTAATTTTTTCACGATGGTTTTCTTGGCAGCCTTTTGTAGCTACTGACGTAACCAAAGAGTTGTCCGCTCCAGCCGCACTCCTAGCATCAGTTCCTAGGATTTTCAAAGCCGCTGGGCTTGGTTTTCCGTGCCGATTGATTTGTGAGGTGTTTGTGAGGCAATCACAAAACAGGCAGATGTACGCTCTCAAACGTCTGGAGAGGACCAGTTTATAGCGCAAACATTGTCTGGCGAAGAATCTCTCATGCCATATGTGATAGTTGTCAGGTCGATGCAGCACCAAATTGCTTTCTCCTCCTCTTGAGTGCCAAATTGCTACAAGGTCGTCGCTGAGTTAGAGTTCCTCCCTCGTATGGATCTCCAGTTCCTCAACTTGTTCTCTCGAGCTCGAGACGCCGCCTCGGTGACCGAGAATCGGCACTCCCAGGCACCTCACTCTACCTAGGACCTCGCTACTCATGTCCTCGAGATCGCCTCTCGAGCTCCTTAAGTTCGCACTCGAGCGTCTCGGAGCAATCCATTTACTGAATGGCTCTCGAGTGATCGAGCTCGAGGTGGCCTCGTCCTGGGCTTGAAGCTCGAGTTCACCCTGTTCTTGAACGTCGTCATGCTCGCCACGAACTCAGCCATGCCTTAGGCTCACCTGATCCATCCAAAGCTGCCGCCTTGCTAAGGTTACCTGTGTGGATGATCTTTGGAGCTCTTGGAGCTCTAATTAAAAGAACGCTGACTATGATCTTGCGCCAGCAGATCCCGGGCTGCCGGGCGACACGATCGAACTCTTCCATGCGATATTCGGGCACGGCTTTGATGAAGCTACAGCCATCGCCCCCTTATCCTATGACACACTTTAGGTGACTTGCGCTGGATCCAAGTGGAGTGTGCACGCATTGAGCAAGCTCGTTCACTGCTCGACACTGGGCTCCATGGCAATCACGAGCGCCTCAGCAGATGCCCACACCGCACCACGCAGCCGTAGTGCTCCGCGATTGGATCCACGCCGTGATCCCCTTGCATCGACGCGAACATCTCTATAGCCCCATGGCTGCACAAGAGCACAGGAAGCTGACGAAGGTCACTGGATTACACTTTGAACTAGCGTACCTTTGACTAATCGATGCCGGATCGAGAAGATCCTCCTTCTTCCATGAGTTCTCCAAGATCGCTGGCTTTCTTTCCAAGCTCATCCCACCTTTTAAACATGAGCGCAGCCTCCAAATTGGCCTTGCTCGGTGTTTACCCAATCTTACCGAAATCCCCCACTCCTCGTCCAAGATCCTCGTCAAGCACGGATTCGCGGCATCGACATCACAGGATTGCCAACACTGACGCTCTCCAAGATCGAATTCCATCCACAATGCCGCACGGCACGGTGCCCAAGGGTGTGCCCAGTCGGTTAGCAGCCCGCGGTATTCATGCCACCTGCGTTTTGGAACCATCGCTCCAGTCCCAGCAGCTGGCTCTGGAATCTACTAAGAACATCGCTTTTCTATGGGTGGTACGCCCGGAGCAGCTCGAGCTAGTGCCGAAGAAATTCGGCGGTACCGCGCGGTACGCCCTCAAGTCCGGTTAATAATGTAGAGAACCGATCGAGACTCCTGTTTGTCCAGCCATGGAATTACCTAGTTTGGATCGTCTGGATCGTTCCCGGTGGAGATGTTTAGATGGAGAGAACCCACTGGAACGATGTTGATTCCACATAACTGAAGAGCTCTCACCACAATGCCTTCCAGGGCGTGGGAGGACCAGATCAGCTTGGGCCACGGTTTCCACAAAGGTCGGCGCTGAATTTTGGATCTGTGGCATGGTGTACCATCGCTGGGCGGTGTTAAAATTTGGGAAGAACTCGAGGTAGAGCTTCATGGTCATCTCGGCCGGAGGCTCCAGCAGCAAATCCTTGTAGCGAACAAACTCCAAACTGTTCTCTCACTGCTATACTCCAAAGAGTGGCGAATTCTTTTGCGGGGGATCGTGACAGCGATCCGGCCCCCATGGCCCTTGAGTAAGAATGGCATAATGTGTATGTGATCCAAGCGTTCTTCGCTCTGAGTTTCAGTAAGAATCTTCTTCCACCAGCTTAAGCCTGTCACTCATCTCTTCCTTCAAAAGAGTTGATTATTATTAAATAGGATTTTAATATAATTTAAAATATTCTAATGGTTTTAATTTGCATTAAAAGGTTAGTTTTTTAAATAAAATTATCTCAAACGTTTATTAATTGAACATATTATATTTAATTAAATCACAAAAGAAATTAATCAAAATTTTGCAATAAGTGATCATATTTGATAAAAGGACTCTTCTACTCTACCCCTTTCCTTTCCTTTTTAATTGGCTATGTGAATATATCTGGTTGTGCACCTTCCAACTTCCATATTTTTGCAGATGGTTAGCCACTTGCTAAACAGCTGAATTACAAAACTATTGTCTTGCTTCTTTAAATTAAGAAAAAGGGGGTGTTAAATAATTTCTATAAATGAAAAGATATTATGGCATACTATAAATTTAGCAATGTCCGGCTAAGATTTAGTTTAGTTAGGATTGAATCAAAGATTCTTAGCTTAAGGCTCAGATGCAAAGATAGATGGCCAAGTCATATTTAATTTAAAGAGTTAAACACTGATTGGTGGTTATAATATACCAAGCATTCATGGATCCATCCTAAAGCTAAGCTGTCATAAAGAGTTTCTCACATCAACCAAATCAATAATTATCTTTCTTGTGGTTGGTGGTCCAGTGCTAATGGTTTAAGCATTAAAGCAATTGGATTTTTCTTGTCCTTCTAGTCAAGCCTATCCATATGTGGGGATCTCCAAGGTCTTTCATGTCATGGGCAATGCAATTAAGTTCATCTTGCTATTGTTGCACTATGATCTCAGTAGTGTTGCCATAACCACTATCATGGTAAAGAAGCAATAAATACAAAGTGAATTGCTATTACCTTTGAGTTGGGTAATTTTAATGAGTTCTAGTTGCCTCTGAATATCTTAGAAGGAATTTATTTGAGTATGTTACTTAGCTAGAAAATAAATTGCCTATCATACAGAAGATATAGACATATATTTGGAAAAAAATGCAACTCCCACATTTTTTGAAAATTTAAAGTATAATTGTATTTCATGGAGCGATTTTAATTTTAATTTTAATTTTAATTTTAACATAAAAAACAATACACATCTTATACAGAAGGCAACAGCCTAAACATTTACATAGATAAGGAATTATTATTATCCCATATTAGAAAATATTTAAATAACAAATTTCACATTATAATTAAATTAAATTAGTTAAATAGTAAAAATTTAATTTATTTCTGTGTTTTTAAATTTTTTTTTCTATTCATTTTTGCTTTGTGAAGTCATATATTAATTATTAATATAGATTAATATAGTAATAAAATTTTCAAATTCATTCTTGTTTGCATTTATAAAATAAGAACTATATATACTATAGAAAATTTGAAAATAAATATTCAATTATCTTATTTAATAAAACTATAGCTTATAATTTTTGTTTCTTGAATTATCAAAATTTAAAGTTAATAATAATATTATCATTAGTAATAGTTAGACCCTCCAAAAAAGTATATATGTAAGTGATTGGAATATAGAAAGGGAATACAGAAAATGTGCCTCTTAATTAGCCCAAAAACCCTAGCTTATATATAGAAACAAGTGGTCCGGATTGAAACCAATCTGATGGTTAGCAAAATCCCACTATACTAATATTAGTATATGACATCGTAGCCATACATTTGGCCCTCACATCATCCCCTCCTTTCGGAATAATGGAAGACCATCAGGGTTCTCTTATAAATGGGCCTGAATCTGAAGGAACATTAAGAGGAGGCATTGGCAGATCTGTAGGTGGTATTAATTGTTTATGATCCCTTTGTATGAAGTGTTTCAACTGCTGCACATGCACAATCTCTGGAGGATCAACTTGCTAGATGTCATGCCGAACTTCATAAACTTGTGGTCCAACTTGCCGCAACACCTGATACGGTCCTTTCCACTGCGCAAGGAGCCCCTTAGATAACCCACGTACTGTAAGATGGGGAAAATGGACTAACACCAACTCATCCACTTTGTATTTTGCAAGTGGACAATGATGGGAGTTGTAACGCCATTATTGTCCCACTTGTACGTCGCCTAAGTGTTTGGCAAATTTTGCTCGGACAAGTGGAAGAATTCTTGTCAAATACTGATCCTATAACTTAGTATCAGCAGCTCGTGGCAATTGCGAAGGTAAACCCATGTCCGTTGGTAATATTAGATCATGACTATATAGGAATTTATATGGTGAAGCATCAACAGAACTCTGCACCCATGTGACATATGCATACCGAAGAGACGGCAAATAACCATCCCAATCTGAATGTTGAAAGTTCACATACTTTGCAATCATTCGTTTGAATGTCCGAACAAGCCATTCCACTAGACTGTCTAATTGTGGATGATAAGCACTCGTGAAAGTGTGGTGTATCCCCAACTGAGACGTCAAAACATGAAATGCCTCAACCATAAATGCGGGACTATTATCTGAAAGAATCCGCTCTGGACAAGAATGCTGGAACACCAGTCGATTGAGGAGGAAGTATCCAATAGCAGTTGTAGAGGCGCTAGCAAGAACACCAATTTCCACCCAACGAGTCAAGTAGTTAGAAGCAATAATAACATACTCATTGCTAGCAATCAACCGTGGAAAAAGTCTCATAAGATCAAATGCCACCAACTCAAACGGACGGGAAATTACAATTGACTCCAACTGTCCTTCTGCAGCACGAGAGGGAGTATTACGACCTTGGCACCAAACACAACTATCCACATACTTGATAATATCATGTCGTATCTCTGGCCAATAAAAAGACCTACGTAGCTTCTATGATACACGATGATGTCCTATATGCCCACCTAGAATAGGAGAATTGTGGTAGGAATGGAAAAACCTCAGAATAAAGACAGAAGGCACCACCATCCGTAAATGATCATTAGGATCTGTCCCCACAAAATAAATAAGGCCATCTTCAAAGCGATACTGAGAATGTAAATGCCAAAATGGCAAGTCATCAGCAAGGGATGTAGAATTCTCAAACCCATCTCAAAGCCTTCGTATCCATGGCTCAAGTTTTTGAGCTTCGTGAACCTCATCAAGAGAAGGTAGATCCTGCTCTGCACCTTACAGACACTGAACGTCGAGTACAACAACTGCCGACAGCACAGAATCCTTGTCTAAAAAATCCACAGATGCCAGAACAACAAGCTCATCAAAAACATGTGGGAGGGTGTGAGACACAAAATCCCTAGGCCCCAAAGTGGAGCCGGAAGGGTGCCACGTGGTAGTGGCCGAAGCGAAAGCCAAACGAGTGTAACACATTTGGACCAAAAGCTCCGACTTGAAAGGTCGAGAGTGGGAGTGGAACTCCCAATGAAGGGCTCGAGGAACGAGTATGAAGCGAGCAATAAGCGAGGCTCCAAAAAGGGACCCAAAAAGACCACCACGTGACATGTGGATGAGTCCGAGATGGACCCAAGATGGACTCGAGATGGAGTTCAAGATGGAATCAAGATGGAGTCCGAGATGGAGTTCGAGATGGACCCGAGATGGACCCGAGATGGAGTCCGAGATGGACCCGAGATGGACTTGAGTTGGAGTCCGAGATGGACCCAAGATGGAGTCCGAGATGGAGTTTGAGATGGAGTCCGAGATGGACCGAGATGGAGTTCGAGATGGAGTCCGAGATGGACTGAGATGGAATCCGAGATGGAGTTCGAGAAGGACCCAAGATGGAGTCCGAGGTCAAGACCGAGACCGGGACCGAGACCGAGACCGAGACCGAGATCGGGATTGAGACCGAGACCGAGGCTGAGGCCGAGACCGAGCTCGAGTCCAAGTCTGAGTCTGAGTCTGAGTCCGAGTCTGAGTCCGAGTCCAAGTCCGAGTTTGAGTCTGAGAGGGTGAAAGCCCAAAGCGTTCGTCTCCCAGACCTTGGGGGGTTGGTGAGCTCCAAAAGTATAGTAAGGGGGAGGACTCGAGCCAGTTTGGCCAGGAAAGGCCAGTTTGTCCCAAGAAGGCTGTACCCAGGTGTTGGGTGATGGGATAACCACTAGGAAGTTCAAAACTAGAGTGAATACAGACTAACAAGCGGGGTAACTTGGTGAAGTGTTCAAGAGCCGGCTTTAGTTCCCCCGGGAGATTGAATGGCCGATGCTCCCAGTCCAAGTGTGGGTGGCACTACCTACTTGGATACCTGGCGTGGCTCAATGAAACCTCGCTCTAAGCCCGTGGCTAGAGCACCCAAAGGCGGAAGGCGGGGAGAGTACCTATGAGGCCCGCGTAAGGCCACGGTGTTCCGAAATGTTGTCCCAAAGTCCCAGACTGTGGAAAGGAAGAGGAGTAGCCCTCTGGTGTGGTGAACAAGGACCCAGTCACACGGTGAGGAAGTCCTAGAGGACCATGGGACTTAGTGGTCAAGCCTGTGGGCCTTGATCCAATGGCCGTGTTGGTGAGCACGGCCATGGACAGAAAAGGACTTGGTGAGGACCAGAAAGAAGATATTGGGGAAGGCTATTCCCCATGTCTGCGGGCATTCTAAGGATGCTAAGGAGTGAATATGAGATGACCACACATGGACGGATGGCCCCATCTTGGAAAGACGGGATTGCAATGCATGTGGTGTTGGACCACCGATGTGACCAATGTGAATGGGCATGGCCTAACATAACAGGCTGACATGTTGGTGGTACCTTGGGGTGTCGATCATGGGATCGGACACGTGGAGCACTTGGACCAAGTGCAAAGGTTGAGTGGCATGGATGCCATTTTCGGGGCAAGCAAGCCCCAAGTCCTAAATTGGACTTATGGAGGTTGTGAATGAGACTCCTCCAAGTGGTCGGAGGTATGGTTAAGTGACTAAAGTAGAATAGAAAAATTAGTTGCTTACAACTTGGTATCGGAGCTGTTCCTTAGTTCGACTTTTATTGGTGCTCAAGTATATCACTATTGATGTTGGCATCAGAAGGTCTTAGGAGTGGGCCTATCCTTGAGGAGTAGCATGTCGAGAGGACATAGCTCTCCACTCAAGTTCATATGTGAACTTGGGGTG